ATTCCGACGATGCCTTTGACTTGGAAACCGCGCTCCATGGTGCGCGTGAGGCGGACAATGCTGCTGGCATCAAGTCAAAATATATCGGTAAGCTTGGCTGCATGGGGCAACATGTCTCGGCCACTAATCGTGTGGATAGGCGTCATTTGGGATAACCTCACCGTGCGTGGCATTGGCGGCGTCAAAAACTTTGTCAAAGTGTTCCCCGACGCGTTCATCGACTTTTTCAACGTACCCGGAACCATAATGAGCATTCTTGGTAGAGGCAAGAAGGGCAAGGAGTTCAATATCTTACAGGGCTTCCGTGGTGTTGCGAAACCGGGAGAAATGGTCCTTGTCCTCGGTCGACCTGGCAGTGGATGTACCACGTTCCTCAAAGTCCTCGCCAACCAACGATATGGATATACTGGAATCGAGGGAGAAGTCCTTTATGGCCCGTTCGATGCTGCAACGTTCGAGAAACTCTACAGGGGCGAAGCCGTCTACAACCAGGAAGATGATGTTCACCATCCGACACTGACTGTGGGGCAGACCCTTGGCTTTGCGCTCGACACCAAGACACCGGGCAAACGTCCCCAAGGTCTTAGCAAGGCTGAGTTCAAAGACAGGGTGATTCGACTTCTGCTCAAGATGTTCAACATCGAGCATACGATCAACACCATTGTTGGTAATCCATTCATGCGCGGCGTTTCTGGCGGAGAGAGAAAGAGAGTCTCGATTGCTGAAATGATGGTCACGCGGGCTACCGTGTGCTGCTGGGACAACAGCACAAGGGGCCTTGATGCCTCGACAGCCTCCGACTACGCGAAATCGCTGCGGATCATGACAAATATCTATAAAACCACCACCTTTGTGTCTTTATACCAGGCTTCTGAGACCATTTACAGCCAATTCGACAAAGTGATGGTCATTGATCAGGGTCGTCAGGTCTTCTTCGGGCCCGCGAAGGAAGCAAGAGCATACTTCGAGGGACTGGGCTTCCTGGAAAAGCCACGTCAGACGACACCAGACTATCTCACTGGATGTACGGACGAGTTCGAGCGAGAATACAAGCCCGGGAGATCCCCTCCAAATGCGCCTTCATCACCGGACTCTTTGGTGGAAGCCTTCAATAAGTCCGCATATGCCGAGAAACTTGCCACCGAGATGGCAGAGTACCGACAATCAATCCAGCAGGAGAAACAGATCTACGACGACTTTGTTGCTGCGCACCGAGAAGCCAAGCGGAAGCACACGCCCAAGAAGTCGGTGTATTCAGTGCCATTCCATCTCCAAATCTGGGCTTTGATGCAGCGGCAATTCTTGATCAAGTGGCAGGACAAGTTCTCCTTGGTCGTGTCTTGGATTACGTCCATCACCATTGCGATCATCACCGGTACGGTCTGGCTGAACCAACCCAAAACTTCCGCTGGCGCCTTCACCCGCGGCGGTGTCCTTTTCATCGCGCTGCTCTTCAATGCATTCCAGGCCTTTGCTGAACTCGCGTCCACTATGCTCGGGCGACCGATAGTCAACAAACATCGTGCGTACACCTTTCATCGACCAAGCGCTCTGTGGCTGGCACAAATCCTTGTCGACTTGGCCTTTGCATCAGTACAAATATTCGTGTTTAGTGTCATTGTGTACTTTATGACCGGCTTAGTGCGGACTCCAGGGGCCTTTTTCACTTTCGTGCTCATCATCATCACTGGCTATCTGTCCATGACATTGTTCTTCCGTACCATCGGATGTCTCTGCCCGGACTTCGACTATGCGATCAAGTTCGCGGCAGTCATTATCACCCTTTTCGTCATTACTTCGGGTTATATCATCCAATACCAGAGCCAACAAGTGTGGTTGAGATGGATATTCTATGTCAATGCATTGGGCTTGGGCTTCGCGGCCATGATGATGAACGAGTTCAAGAGATTGACCATGCGGTGTACCAACGAGTCCTTGATACCATCGGGGCCGGGGTACGGCAATATCGGAAACCAAGTCTGCACTCTGCCGGGTTCGCGAGCAGGTTCGATCGAAGTATCGGGAACAGACTATGTCAAGACGGGATTTTCATACGATCCTGCAGACCTCTGGCGGAACTTTGGCATCATCGTTGTGCTGATTGCATTCTTCTTGTTCACGAACGTCCTGCTTGGGGAGACCATCAAGTATGGTGCCGGCGGCCGCACGGTTACTTTCTACGCCAAGGAAAACAAGGAGAGGAAAGTGTTGAATGAGAAGCTACAAGAGCGGAAGCGGAGAAGACAGACGAAGCAGGATGCTGGGGACAGCTCGGAGCTCAATATCACGTCGAAAGCCGTCCTGACTTGGGAGCGGCTGACATACGATGTGCCCACTCCCTCGGGTCAGTTGCGTCTGTTGAAAGATGTCTTTGGCTATATTCGTCCTGGGCAATTGACTGCTTTGATGGGCGCTAGCGGAGCCGGCAAGACGACTTTGCTCGATGTGCTGGCGGCCAGAAAGAACATCGGCGTCATCGGAGGAGACATTCTGGTCGATGGGGTAAAGCCAGGCATCGGCTTCCAGCGAGGTACCTCGTACGCCGAGCAGCTTGATGTCCACGAGTCGACCCAAACAGTACGAGAAGCACTCCGCTTCAGCGCCGACCTGCGGCAACCGTATGAGGTGGCCCAGGAGCAAAAGTATGCTTACGTTGAAGAAGTCCTCTGCCTGTTGGAGCTCGAGAATCTGGCGGACGCGATCATCGGCAGTCCCGAAAGCGGTCTTTCAGTGGAAGAACGCAAGCGAGTAACGATCGGCGTCGAACTAGCCGCCAAACCTCAACTCCTACTATTCTTGGACGAACCCACGTCCGGTCTTGATTCGCAATCCGCTTTCAACATTGTTCGGTTCCTTCGTAAACTCGCCGCTGCGGGACAGGCCATCCTCTGCACAATCCACCAACCGAATAGCGCCCTATTTGAGAATTTCGACCGACTCCTACTGCTGCAAAAGGGTGGCGAGACAGTATATTTCGGGGACATTGGAAAGGACGCACACGTGCTCCTAGGATACTTCCACAAGCATGGCGCCGATTGTCCTCCGGACGCGAACCCGGCGGAATGGATGCTCGACGCCATTGGAGCAGGGATCGCTCCTCGCATCGGGGACCGAGATTGGGGCGAGATCTGGCGCGAAAGTGAGGAACTTGCCACTACCAAAGCCGAAATCATTGAAATGAAAGCGACACGACAACGCGAAGTCGCGGGCGCACCCCAACTCGACGAGCGTGAATATGCTTCCCCCCTATGGCATCAGATCAAAGTCGTCTCGAAACGAACGCATCTTGCCTTCTGGCGGTCGCCGAACTATGGCTTCACGCGCCTGTTCAACCACGTCGCCATCGCGTTACTCTCCGGGCTTGCCTTCCTGCAGCTCGACGACAGTCGCTCCAGCCTGCAATACCGTGTCTTTGTCATTTTCCAAGTCACCATCATCCCGGCACTGATCCTTGCACAAGTGGAACCCATGTACGACCTCTCCCGCCTGATCTTCTATCGCGAGTCCGCGGCAAAGGCCTACTCTCAGTTCCCCTTTGCCTTTGCCATGGTCTGCGCCGAAATGCCGTACAGCCTGCTCTGCACACTGGGCTTCTTCATCCCGATCTACTACCTGCCTGGCTTCCAAAACGGGTCTTCCCGCGCCGGATACCAATTCTTCATGGTCCTCATTACCGAACTATTCTCCGTGACCATGGGCCAGATGATCGCGGCCATAACGCCCTCGAGCTTCATTTCCAGCCTGATCAACCCGTTCGTGGTCATCACGTTCGCGCTCTTCTGCGGCGTGACGATCCCTAAGCCGCAGATCCCGGGCTTCTGGCGCGCGTGGCTGTATCAACTCGACCCTTTCACGCGCCTCGTCTCCGGCATGGTCACTACGGAACTCCACGGCCTGCCTGTCGTGTGCAAGGCCGCGGAGCTGAACTCCTTCCCGGCCCCCAACGGCACGGATTGCGGTGAGTACATGCGCGACTTCTTCGCTGGGGGCGGACCAGGGTACTTGGTCAGCAATGTGAGTGATGTGTGTCGGTACTGCGCATTCAAAGTAGGGGATCAATTCTACGAGCCCCTGCAGCTGCATTTTGGGGATCGGTGGCGAGATCTGGGCATCTTCTCGGCTTTTATTGCGAGTAATTTGATCTTGTTATTTTTGGCGAGTCGGTATTTGAATTTCAACAGACGGTAGATCGAGACGAGAAAGGGGAGGATACAACGGATAGAGATGAGTGGAGGATGCTGGATGATGCAGAGAGATCAGGACGGATATGAGGGCAAGGGGTGGGAAGGTTATGGATGAGAGCAGGGTGTCAAGACACGGACGAGTTTGGTCGTAAACTGACCATGAGGTTGAGCTAGAATGGCACGACAAAAGTGGTCTTTGGGCAACCCTAGATTCTTCAATGTACACAATTTAACATGGTAATCTACATGGTCTTTTGCTGTCCCTCCAGGATGTACGGAGTAGCTCGAGGAGGGACAACCTCCGCGTTCGTGATGCCGAAAGAGGCTAGCTCATATTCCTGCATCATGGCAGCCACGTGATCGACATCATCGGCTCCACTGCCACAACCGGTTTTTGCTGCATTTTGCGTCTCCGCCTCTGGCCGAGCTTCATCCTTGTCGGGTCGCTGCGTGCACCAGCCGCCCCTGTCCTCCCGTGTCGTACTTGTCCCGCCAGTCATCACTCGTATTTAGGCGATGGGGCCCGCCTCGGACGGTCAGTCTTTGAAATTGTGGCTTGATGTGTGACGTCTTTTGCATTCGAGTTCGGCCGGCCTTCGACATGGTACATGGGAGATGAGGATGGGCGGAGGAAACAGCGTGCCAGCCACCCTTTCGAGAGGTCTATTTTACTGATCTGGTATTCGTAAGCTGTGTGCTCTTCCCTATCCTCTCTTCTGCCTTTCCGCGCGCCCCCGTTGTCTCCTGGCAGATCGTCCGCTGCGACCATCAATTGCGCTCCGCCCTTGCTTCTTCCGAAGCCGCTCACCCACAGTCATGGACAACGAGAAACAAGAGAATAAGGCACCGAAGGAGAAACCGCTCCATGAGTACGTTGCCGCGCCGCGAACCAGAATTGATGCTCCGTGCTCCCTGTACCCTGGCACGCTCACTAAACCTGTCGCAGGCTGCTCACCTCCTCACTCGTCGACATCTACGTCGGCCCGGACTCGACGCATTGGACGCTCCACGAAAGACTTCTGACTTACTATTCGCCTTTCTTCGCCTCCATTTTCTACGGCGACGACAAGACCGAAGAGAAGAAGTCCCGCGGAAACAAGTCTTATGGGCTCCCAGACGAGGATGATTACCCGTTTGAGCTCCTGGTGGGCTGGTTATACTCGAAATCCATCCGTCCTCCCCAGACCGAAAAAGACATAGGCCCTCTACTCGAGCTGTACCTGCTGTCGGAGAAATTCCAGATGGAGAAGCTCAGCCATGATGTGGTCGAAGTTGTGCGAGAGTTCTACCACACCACCTCCACATACCCTGGCCTACGCAGAGTCCAGTACATCTACGCCGAAACCGACGAAGACAACGAGATGCGCGAGATGATGGTCTCATCCATCGCCCGCCAGTTGACCACCGCCGACAAGATTCCATCACACTGGGCCTCTGCACTCAAGCGCAACGGGCAACTTGCCGTCGACATCATCCGCGCCATCCAGCAATGGCACATTGAAGAACGCAGCATACCGGACGTCCGAGATGGCAGCCAGTGCCGTGGCAGGCGCGCGAATGGCGGCATCTTCAGTGCGATCGAGCGAGCCACGGACTCACAAGAAACGCATGACACCACCGACACCAACCTGGGCGTCGAGAGTATCAACAGTGGACAGAGTGACACACCGAATGTCAAGAGCGACGCGGAAGAGTAAGTTTCGCCTGTCCGTGTACCACCAGTTCCGTTCAGTTCAGTCCAGCAAGATGAACACTTTTCGTCGTGCAACCCTCCCCTCCCTGCTTCAGGAGGAGTTCCTCCTCGCAAAACCAACAAAAAGGCAGAGCTTAAGCTGAGCACAAATCCCCGTGTACCAAAAGACCGCTATCTCGAGAGTCGACGCCGCGACCACCAAAGCCGCGAATCGATCCCCCAGACATACAGTATGAAGTCGAAGGCAGAGAAGAAAAGACCGAGCAGTTAGCATTGCCCGCCTCGGTCTCGGACTCGGATGCCAAACAGGCAACAAAAAGTGATTATCCACGGGCGTTGACGTTGACGGACGCATGGCGACTATCGAACGCGAATCGGGCGGAAAGCATGTTCTTGCTCTCGGCGTGGGCAGTGTACTTTATATACTACGTAGGGTATGCATTTGGAAAGGAAGCCGCTTGGGGGTAGCTATCTCGATAGGTTGTGCTTTTGGGCCACGAATGTTATTGCCTGGATTACTCGAAATATGTCCACTCTCTCTTGTTCGTGCAGACCGCTGTCCGAACGCAGCCAAAGCTTTGCGACGGCTGGGCTATGTGGTGTCTACCGCAGTGCGTTAGTACTATCTCACCGGGTCCATATCAGCAACCTCGATGATGAGTCCCGCCAGCGCTGGAGATGCCTTTTATGTTCTGCCTTGTCTAGTACATACCTATAGTTGGGAAACACGTGCAGGCACATAATACACGTGGGTCTCCCGCTCGGTACGAGTAGGAGAATGTGTGTTCCAACAGGGGTAGAGCATGAACGGTGACTACGGTACGCGATCGGTAGCTTCTACCGAGTGCATCCACGTCGCAGCCCCGGCTACCTAGTTACGGAAAGTACCTGTAGGATTTGGTGGATGTACGCAGCTGCTTACAGAAAGCAGTGGTTTGTGGATTTACGGGGTATAATTATTTCCTGGCCGTCGGCCACAGAACAGGGTGTTGAGAGGGTGTACTCCGTACGGTGCACGGCTGTTTCTGATGTGAGACACATGGTACGGTACAATGTACACGATACATGTCTCCTTTTCTATCTGCCGCTTCGTTTTGACCATAGGCTGCTATGGCCGTTTTTCTTGTTCATGTAATCTACCTGCTACATCAGCTTCCCTTTCCGTTGCCATGTGATTCATCCTTCGATTGTCCTAGAGCGTGATATGTTCCCGTCAGTCGCCACAATGGTCCGTGTTGACGACCGCAGCCATGGAGACACGCATGCGGTCCGTCCGACAAGTCCTGGCTGTCTAGTCTACTCTTACTCTACACATCAATGGCATCGACGACCACGCCCTTGACCCAATCGTACTGCATGACGCGGGCCACCTCCTGGGCGCTCTCGTGGCTGACGAGGGCGCTGACGAGGTACAAGCTGGCGTCGAGGCCGCTGACGGCACCCGCGGAGGTGATGACGCGCATGCCGCCCAGCTTCATGCTCTGGCGGCGCACGAGGTACTCCTTGCTGAGGTTGCTCTCGCGGCGGGCGAGACTGCCCTTGCGCGCGTTGCTGCCCTTGCGGTTCTTCTTGAACACGTACGGGTTCTCCTCGAGGTTCTCGCCCAGGTCGAACCGCGCGTTGTTGACCACGTACCGCTCCTCCATGACGTCGGTGCGTTCGCCCGCGTCCCGCGCCGCCGCGGCCTGGCACTCCTTCTCCAGCTTGATGTAGAAGTCCGGGTGCGTCGTGGCCGCCAGGCCCTGCAGCAGGCCCTGGTGCGCCAGGAACAGGCTCGCCGTGTCGATGGCCAGCAGGGTGCGCTCGCGGGCCGGGTCCGCCGTCTGGAGATCGGCGAACGCCCGGATGAGTGGGAGCGGCTCGGCCTCGGCCTTGACCATCTCCATGCATTTGTCTTTGCCGCCGGGGACCACGAGCACGTCGAACTCCCGGAGCCGCTTGTGCGCTTCTTTGAACGAGATGTGCGCCGTCAGCGTGACCCCTTGGGCGGTGAGGACTTCTTCTTGCGGGCCCGCAAAGGTAATGTCGAAGGCTTTGGTTTCTGTGGCAGGGATGCGTGTTAGTTTGAGGCGCTTGGAAGTTCTCTGTAGGGAGATGCATGAGGCGTCGTGTGTCATGTCGTGTGTCGTGTGATCCTGTTTGGGGAGGGACACCACTCTTTCCTTACCTGGGTTGTTAATGTCGTGTTGAGCGTGGGTGAGGACTTCGAGAGGGCCGGCAAAGTCAAGGAGATTCATGTTTTCGTGCATGGTGATCAGAACCTGGATTGGTTCGCTTTCTTCGCTCCGAATTGCACTCATCTTGCCGGCTGGTCAAGGGATGTGGATGTGGATGTGGATTTGGTGGAGGGTCACAGATCGAAGGGTTCTCGTAATGCGTGGGAGACGATTTGTTTGTGCGTAATCACGGGGCGGATAAATCGCTTCGGGGGATGTTTGTAGTGGTGATTTGTGCGATGTTTGGGTGAAGGTTTCGACAAAGGTGTGCGAAAGGTGGCCTCCTGCAGTTCAGCACAGCGAAGCGCAGCGCAGTCAGTGTCTGGCTTCTGCGGAGACCCCACGATTGAAGGCCAAACGTGGGGTAATTATCGACTAAGAGGTCACGAGATTCAGCGAGATTCAGCGAGATTCCAAACGTGACTGAGGGGCAGCGCCAACACGTGACCACCAAAAGCCCCCCGTGTCTGACACAGGCTCAACCCCTCAAAAGCGGCCTATCTTGGCTGTCTGACAGCATGTCTTGATTTTTCGTGTAGCGCACCAACTTCATTTTGTTTTGTCTCTGTGGACTCATGTCATGCAAAGTCTTCATACACACATCCGCCCATCTTCTTGCGTCTAACTGGAGAGCCAGATATAGTCTGGCTTCCACCAGCTTCATATGCCCTTGACCTCGAGTTGTTCGGACATGACGTTGGAGTCATCAAATACGAGAAATGCAGCAGCGCGACACCGGTAGACATCATACGTGGATGATTTTGTGACCAATCGACCTTCGGCTGAAGGCAGCACCTCTACAAGGATCTCGAGCCGGGGGAAAGGTAGGTCTGAAGAGTGCAGACATTGGTTCGAGACTCATGTTCAATCCCGGGACTCAAGTTGACCGCTTGTCCAAAGTCGCTGCGCGATCGCTGGGCACAAGTCCAGTCATCCGGACCGAGAGAGTCCAGAACCCGTCGGCAGGGGTGATTTTCAAATTCATGTGCTCTTTGACCAGTCACAGATACTTCGAGGCGACGCGCTTCGCACCCAGAGAACGCGTCCTCCTGCAGCCTCAGGCTTTCTTTTCCTCGGTGGATAGACGGCGTGATCACGCCTCACTAACCCTCGCATAACTCTGTCCCAGATCGTCGATGTGCAGGTCTTGCAACGACTCACGGCTCTCAGCTACCACCAGCCCATGTCGACGGAAAACCGCGGCATGCAAGTTGGAACAAAGACCCTCCGCTGCTCGTCGTTACGCTCACCCGAACCCCAGCATGATCTTGGACCACTCCCTGAACGCGACAATGGATGGGATGTAATTATTATCCGAGACGCCTGACACCCCAGGCCCTCTCCTCCTTTCTTGACTAGATATACCCAGCTTTGCAAATCGAAGCAGCCGATCGAGTCAAATTTCTCTGCGAGTGCCAATCTACCACGGTTCCAGCACTGCTCTTCGTTGGCGAGGTGCTGGCAACGGGTAACATTAAGAGCAAGCATTCCCGTGACACGCCCAGATATAGGGGTAGGGCTATAATAAGGATGTTTGGGAAGCGCTTGCCGAACTCAAAGGGGACCTGCAAAAAGCCGAGGAGGATGCATACTATTGGCAGGAGAAGTTCAAGAGGGGACGAGCACGATTCAAGTCATCACTTGCAGGGTTCAGACACAACCAGTCTATACTACAACAAGAATTACAGGAATCGGCAGCGAAGCGGGAGGCAGACCTGAAGATCGTGAACTTAATGCAGTTCCACTGGTCAGAGAACGAGCGAAAGGGTAACCATGCCGACAGGTTGGCCCAGGAGCGTGCCCAACTCCGGAGACAGCTGGCTCAATGTGAGCCAGAGCTTGAACAGCTGCGAGGCATTGCACAAGGACATGCAGCCCTACAGAACCGGTTCCACGATTTGGTAGCTCAGCTTCAGGGTCCTGACAAGGAGCCAGGATCGACCGACTCGTACGTATCCCCAGATCGCAACCCTACTTTGCAAACATTGGCAATATGGTGGGACTTGGGGCTAATTTCCAATGACTACAGGTCAACCAAAGTTGGTGATTTGAAGGGACGGTTGTGAAAGTCGGTCGAACTCTGCATTTATCGCTCTTGTCCCAATGTAGGACTCCCATTCCTCTGAATCACATCCAACAAGGACCTGATCGCCGTCTAGAACCCTGTCGAAGGTGCATCTATGCGCAAAGAAGGGACAACATGGTCAAAACTCGTCTTTTTAGCTGGCTCGGGGACGGTGTCGCTTTGGATGTTAAGAGCAATTCAACAACGATCCACGAGGCCGTAACTGCGATCCACGACGTGATGAATGCCATCCACGACGACTTCGTCCAGAGCCGAAGACGCCGCGATGACCAAGTCGATTTCGTTATCAAAGAAGAACTCGAGCATGAATTCTAGGCGAAGCTCGCCAGATGTTCGAGAAGCAGTGAGCCTCGGGTCCGGAGCCTTGAGGTAAGCGAAACTGTTCTGGGGTGTGGTTTTTTCAGGGCTCACACCTGATCCCATCCCTCCTTAAGCAACTAGTTTCAGCGTCACTATCAGAGCATTTCCGGGCGATGGGCAAGGAACTCCTCACATCGGGAAAAATGCTGGATATCAAAAGTAGTCTGCATCTCAGGCCGTCATGTAGCTATATAGCATGGTAGGGCATTGGATTCCAAGTCTCAAGCGAGCGGGGTACAATACTTAGATTGCAACAAAGCTGCCTTCAACAGGCGTCTTCCGCGGAGATATCTCTGAAATAGTCATCATGAGTGTCATATCAGCTCTGGTCAGTTAGTGGCGGAAAGGATAATCCATTCTGGCCGCCTTATTAGAATATGTAGATGACTTGTATGGGCCCGCTCCGCCATCTGTAATAAAGCTCTGACACTCAGGACACCACAGGACACTTGCCGCTTGCACTCCTCAGCCTTGATACCACCCTTGGATCTATATCAATTCGGCACTTACCTCATCAGGGGAGCGAACACGAGTTCCGACTACTGTGATAGGTTTGCTAGGACTTCCCCTTTGGTGTTTATAAGGCGAGCCGTCGACGCGGCCTGAACACTCAGCCTTCGATGCGCCCGCCTGATCCGCCCATTTTTGTCCTCACATTACAGGCCACCTGGAGATGTCGTCGCTCTTTGCCTCGCGGGCTATTCCTCCGCATCGTGACCGTTCGCGCAAGGTCGCTTGAACCTGCTTCCCAGCACAGAGGTCCGAAAAGAAAAACAGCATGGCGTCCGATGCGGCAGGGGCGGACCAAGCACATATAAGGGACTCCAACCCAATATCTGCATCATCCTTCAAGCAGATCATAGCATGACTCCACCGAGGCCGGGGATCTTGGATACATAAACTCAGCTTGAGCTCAAACGTCGACGCGTTGCCATAACTTCGATATAAATAACTGCTCGACTCTGGACCTGGGCAGTCTACATTCGACGGTGTGACATCTGCCCATCACCTCTGCTGACCGTTGCAGCCGTCATGTCCGGCAACAAACTCATCGTCATCCTAGGAAGTGGCCCAGGCATAGGCGTTGCAACCGGCGCCCTCTTCGCTTCAAAGGGCTTTGATGTCGCCTTGCTCTCTCGCAATGCCCAACGCTTGGACCAAGACGTCGCCAGGGTCCGAAAAGCAAACCCCGGCGTCAAAGTGCAAGCATATCCCGTCGATCTCGGCGATCACAACGCCCTAGCATTGGTTCTAGGGAAAGTAGAAACAGAATTCGGGCCTCCTGAAGTGGTATATTACAACGCCGCCAGAGTCGCGCCCTCAAAGATCGGGCAGACCGGTGCATATTTTGTGTTGGAGGACTTCAAGGTGTGTGGCACCGACGCCTGAGCAGGCCCTGTGTCTTTGCCTCTTTGCTGACTGGAGTAAATAGAGCATGACGCTTGGTCTGTGGGTCGCGGCGTCATGGGCATTACCGCATTTGACGACAGCGGCTGCAAAGGCACATTCTCACCCGTCATTCCTCTTCACCAACAGCGGATTGTGGGATCGCCCGCTGGCAGACTTTGCTTCCCTGTCATTGCAAAAGGCCGCGCAGTACAATCTCCTGTTGAGCCTCAGGCAAATGGTGGAGCCCAAGGGCGTCCACGTCGGCGGGGTCAACATCGGAGGTCTTGTCGATGAGGAAGATCCCGTCATGAACCCGAGGAATATTGCGCAAGCCTTGTTTGAGCTATACCAGCAAGACAAGCCTCATTGGCAGTGGGAGAGCAAAGTTGGCGACTGGGATGAGTTTCTCAAGAAGATAGGGGTCCAATCGATGTAATGATACAGTACGAGGACGAGCATGGAGGGGACGTCCAACCTCTGCAGGGACCGGCTTGTCTGCCAATACAGTACTTAAGGTACTGTAGTATCCAAACCGCCCGCAGCCTGTGAAGAGCGCGGGCGGTCTCCCGCTTTGCCCCAGACTCGCCAGTGCCAGGTGCCAGGCAGCGTCCCAAGCGGGTGCAAGCTCTCAGCACGTGGGGATGGCATCATGGGGCTCGCGGGGCTCGATTTCGGCTAAAATCATCATTGCTTATCCACCCACTGAACGGCCGTTGTTGAGGGGCAACAATCAAGTCATAACTAACTACTTGTAAACGAAGCGTTGGATCAAGCATGGCGCCGATGTGATCCAGCTTTGAAGTTCAGGCACAGCAAACTCGGAAATTGTTCTCCTTTCCTAGCGAAGTGTGGACTCGGTACTTGCTGTACACAGTACACCTTTTTCATTTTCTCCTCAGTTGCGAGTGCAGTGCCACCATTTGCTGCAATTTGGTTTGTTTGTTCTTCTTTGTATACCACATCCCCAGCTTGTGTTGTGGTTTAATTTCACGAACACCACCGCCACCACCACCACCACTGCCACCACCATGCGCATCCCCTACCTCCTCTCGCTCCTCCCCCTCCTCGTCGCAGCCGACAGTCAAGCGCCCCTCAAGGACAAAGCCGCCGGCTGGTTCGACAAGGCAAAGTCGTACGTCTCGAGCGCCGTCCCCTCCGCCATCCCCGTGCCGGAGATCCCCCACCCCATCGACGCCGGCGCCGCCAAAGTCGCGGAAAATGTCGTCGAGAAGATCAACGTCCGCAACTGGCAGCGCAAACTGTCGCCGAAGCTGGACGCGGAGGAGGAGTGGATGATCTACTTGACTGGCGGGAACAAGTCGTGTTACGGGAGATGCGGGCCCGTCAATACCGTGTGGAATGTATGTGCTGCTGCTGCTGCTGTCCTCTCTAACCACTGAGGTACCGCACCGTCTGGATGGTTGATTGACTAACTGACAACCACAGGAATCCGTACCTCTCCTCGCGGCGCTCTCGGCCTCACCGGGCTCCCGGCGCCTCAAACTCGGCCTCCTCGACTGCGAAAAGGACGAGGTCCTCTGCACGGCCTGGGCGTCCGGCGTCCCCGTGATCTACCACTTCATGGTCCCCAAGGCGGCAGCAGCTGCTGCGGATGCCTCGTCTGGACCTTCCACCGCCGACGCGCCCACCCCGCTGCACATTGTGCCCCTGAACCTGACGTCCACCGAGGTGAGCGACATTGTGTCCATCCCCTCGGCGAGCAAATCCCGGTACTTGGACTACGAGGAATATACCGGTCTGTTGCACCCGATTGACGGGCTGATGGCCAAATTCGGCCTGTTGCAGCCGTTCGGGTACTTCATGTGGGCGCTGGGCTCGGTGCCCGGGTGGGTGATGATGCTGGGCATCAGCTTTGTGAGCCGTCAGATCATGAGCCGGCGGATGGCCGGGTCGGGGGGCATTCCTGAGGCGGCGCCACAGGCGCAGGCGGCCCCGGCGCCGAGGGTTGCGCCTGCGACGGGGAGCCAACCTAGAGGGGGTGCTGGGGGCAGTGCGAAGAAGAGGAAGTGAGGGACAAAGTCACGATGAGAGGGAGCGACTGAAGCATGGCTCGGAAACAGAAGCAGGAGGGGGTCATTGTCTTGAATGTCCAACCCTCTTGGGTTGATATGTTTCGCGTTGTCTGCTATGAGCACAAAAGTGTCGCTAATTTGTTCATACTTGGAGCGTCTTCCTTTTGGAGACCCGGCTTGGCCACGAGATCTGCTTTCAGGCCAAAGCCGGGGAGTTGGCTGCCTAATACACAATTCAAGCTCAAATCGTTCCCTTTCTTTCACTGAGTTCGCTCCAAGCTACCCATGGTATCTCTCGCTTGACTCTGGGAATTGCGCACCCCTATCAGAAGTCCCAACCATAGCCTCCTCTCAAAGGACCTTCCTAAGGCGAGCTATTGAGTCCACTCTTGGCTGGTCCTTCTCTACCTCCGTGCGCATCCTCGCCGCCACCAGGTGTGATCTCCACCCCTAATTCGCTCTTCAGCAACTCACTCAGCGAACTCCCATCCCGCAGGTAAATCCACTTGCCGCCAGTAGACCCGTCGTCGCCGCCATCAACCGTGCTGTCTGCCTTGTGGTCTTGCGAGGAGGAGGGGATGACCCAGTCGAAGCGCTTCGGGCCGGAGATCGGGGAGGAGAGCCAGATCTGGCGGTTGGGAGGCTGTTTGTTGATCACATACGTGCCATGTTTGGGGTGAGTGATGGTGAGCACTCCGGCCTGTGGAACAGAAGAGGTGAGAAGGATTCAATACGACCTATACAAGCACATATCTGGGGCCGGTACTTGTACATACCGAGAATTCAGATTCCATTCCCTCGGTGTTGCGCTCTGACACATCTTCCAATGCCAAAACTAGAGTGTTCAGGTATTGATCTGCGAGCTCGTGGTACTCGCCGTCGCTGATCTGGGCTGCTCCCGCGCCAGGGCCATTTCCGTGAGTGGCTTCAGGCTTTGGTGGCTGAGGGTCGCTGCTGTCTGGTTGGAGGCCTTTGTGCCGGAGGGTGTGAGTGGAGAAGCTGGCTGCTTGTCTTGGAGTTTCTGCGGGCGACAGCACAGCGTAGCGGGAGGTTGTCGCGGGAAGGAGGCGGGAGGTGCTGAATGCGGTTGAAGCTGTTAATGGTCGGTTGAGCCTGCTTGCTCGCGCTGCGGAGCGGAGAAGTTGCCGGCTTGCCTTCATGGTCGCGGACCCTGCTGAGGCTGTCAGCAAGAGCAGGGGGACAAAAGAGTAGGCGTGACTGACAGGACGCTGTGATGACCTTCTGAAACTCAACCAAGCGCTGTAAGGAAGATGGCAAGTTGTGACGGTCAAACGACCATTGAGTGTCTGGTGTGAAGGGTGATTGACCACGGCCAATGACGTACAAAGGAATCGGTTCGGCAGAAGCAGGCTTGGAGCTCTGTGATTGGCGGAATGCTCGTGCTCGCAGAAGCATCACGCCCAGAAGAAGATATGGGGATGCTGTACACTGTGGAGAGTAATGGTTAATATACGCTTTCACGGTGACAAGCCTATTCAGTCGAGAGCGTGTGATGTTTGCTAGCCCTTTCGGCATCAAGACATCAGACCGAGAATGCAGCACTCTCAGTCAGCTACCTAGAATACAACCCATAACCACGCCAACATCTCAGAAACGCCATCAAGAGAATCAACCAAAGTGGAACTCCTTGAGAGATCCGAAAGTACAATCCTGGCCTGGCCAGCGCTTCCCTCATTTAGCTTTTCAAAGCAAAATCTTGACCACCATCGAGGCAGGTTCCAAGGGACCAGCATCTGGCAGCTCTATCTGTTCTGACCATTCTCCAGGCTTGCCAATGACAGAAAAATGCGTGCTTCTCAATTTGCAATGCACATTCTGTCACCCGGCTGCCTGTGTCCCTTGTGATGCAATCTCATCGTCGTGCCATCTTACTGCTGAGGAGCCTTCAAATGTGTTTACCACGCGGTACGTGTCCTCCAATCCTGATGATTTCGAGAGCTGCGGCGCAGACAGGCTGGCAGAATCATGGCTCCGTGCAGGTCTACCACAACAATCCTTGGCATGCCTCCAGCAGAAAATCACTGTTCTCGCTGCGTATGTCGGCGGCCTCCCGAGAATTCTTGGTGCTTGAAGCAGACAGGTGTGACATGGGTCCTGCCATGCTCACCTCCGGGGCCGGCGGGATGGTTTCCTCTGAACCTGGACCAATACCGTAATGACTTTTGTCTTCATGCTTTTTCCCATTAATTGACCTCGCTCGCCTTTGACTCGATGTAAAACCCCGCATCGGGCACTCGCTCCTGATGCACCTCCTGCTTCGTCAAAGGCTTGTCAACTTCCGAAACCGCGACCAGCTCTTTCACTTTCATAATTTGACCGGCGACGGAGGGCGTGACTGGGTGGAACACGGTTGCCATTCGTTTGCGCAGGCCGAGAGCTTTGAGCACATTGCCTGTCCGCGCTGGGAGGCCGATTGCGGAACGGATTAGGGTGATCCGAAAATAGGACATCGTTGTCGAACAATCGAAAACTCGGCGGTGTGGGACGAAGACTCGGGCTGAGAATTGGAACCTCTATGCAGCGGATGAGAGGGAGCTGTAGTTCTTGTAGCCTATGTCAGAGGCCTGGAGCTGGTATTCGGGGGTTTTAAGGTGAGAGCAGAACTACATAGAACGGAGTACGGAGTACATCACCGCGAGCTACAAGGTTATTTTGCAGCGATCCACTCAGCCTCGTCTTGGCGCCGCAAGGCTGGCAAACAACCAATTACGAACTCCGGAGCACCAGTCCTGGTTTATCCATGGTTACACAAGACTTGACTACAAACGTAACAAGGGCAGCATCATAGTATCTAGCATGAACGTTGCGCCGAGGACAGCGTCGTTATGAGGCCATTACGTCCGTTGAATACCGGCCAGTCCTGCCACCTGTATGTCTGTCACCCTGGCCAACTAAGCACCCTTGATCCATCATGAGGGTGTCGCTTTGGAACCGCTGTCGAATTAGCCCGCTCAGCATTTCCCTGCCACATCTTGAAAGATATTCAAGTCTGAAAGTGGATACTCATAGCATCCAGGTTCTATTATTGCCTGGGAATCTTACCATATTGAACTTTTGACCCGAGCCACAACAGCCAGGTGCACCACTCCTCGGGAATGGGTATATCAAGGGGCTCTCACCATGGAGTTACCATTCAATCGCATCCTTGAGAATATGGGATGTTCACTATCCCAGTCATAAGTTCCATCTGTCAAGTGGGTAAACGAAATCGGCACTCCGCACTAGCGTGCTTGACTCTGAAGGCCGGAGAATGGGCCGAGACCAAATCGAAATACAGTTGTAGGGGGGCGGTAAGAAGCTGAACAGTCTACTCTGCAGAAGCGAGCGCGTTGATCGAGCTACGAGTCCTCGGTACGCGACCCAAGCCAACAGTCTCCGGCGATTGGTCCACAGAGCTTCTACGGTTTAGAATTCAAGTCTAAGGTGCTTGTGCCAACCGCTGTGGAGTCGCTTAACGCTCTGATCGGCTGGTTTTCTATTACAGAGCTGTGCACGCCAAAAGTCGAGAACACCGGCCTCACAAGAGTTGTGAAGCGCTCAGCCAGCCATCTGAGGTTCGAACATACCAACACCACGCACTAACAAGATAACCAGTTGGGGGAGTTATCGGTAAGCATGTGCTCGGGCCTGGGAAAGTCAACAAGAGCCAAGCAGGAGCCAAGCAAGAGCCAACTGGTCGTTCTCAGCGCCGATCCAAACCAACTAAACCTCTTCAGAACCTCTTGCGAAAACCACAACGCTGGTCAACATCTCGACCCGGCTGTTTCTGTACTGTGGTGGCAATACGACGACAGATCCAGCCTCTGGATGCAGGAAGTCGTATCTCAAGTTCTGCGGCCGAGCTCTAACGGCCCACAGATCGCTTCTCTTCCAAGAATGAGTCGCCTTCGCCGGCCGAAGTTGGCTGGCTGAGGTCAAGTATCTACCGCTTTGGGGATCTCGGGAGTACGGACTCGACCTTGTCATGCCGCCCAAACCCAGGCATTCTGCCCAACGAGGTATGCAGACATCGCATTTGGCGGCATCCCCGACATGACTGTCCCGCATTGAAACGGTAAGACCACTCAGCTCGAAAGCTGAAGCAATCAACAGAGGCGTGAAGAAAGTTATATAACCTGCAGTGGACGATGCTGGACTCGCTAGATTCAGTTTCCTTCGTTCGGACATACGTGCCAGCGCTTGCTGAAGCCGCAGAGTCAGACACACCATTCGAGTGCCTGCCAACATGAAACTCTTATCCTTTCTCGTCATGCTCGCAGTAGGGTCTCCTGCCGATGCAGGAGCTTGTGACAGCGGGATCAATGCGGTCGCTGTGCCGTTGCTGAAGGCCTACCCTCCGGCACAGTCTTTCTGCAGCGCAAAATACCCGCTGCCAACCTCGACGGTAACAGCGAAGGTCAAGCGTCAGAATGGTCGATCAACGTCTACCACAACGACAAAATCAACGACCACGAAACCAGCGTTGAATCCAACAACCACCCCAAAGACTACTACAACGACTAAGGATGCCCAGGCTTCGCAATGGTCTTCCATTCTTTCACAAGCCGGCGCTGCCATTTCTACTTTCTGCTCCTGCATCGAGACACCAGTAACCAAGACGGTATGTGAATATTCCAAGCAAAGGACAAAATCTCGTCTTGGGATCTTGATTGGCTAAATGGCTTCAGGTAACTCCGACAACGACGACGACGACGTCGAGCAGCAGCAGCACCACCACCATCACCATACCCGTAAGCAATGCCCTTGGTTTCTCTCTTTGTCTACGAGCTGATTTGGAATAGACGACGACGCCATCAACAACCACCACTACCACCACGACCACTCCAACCTGCGTGCCATCGGGCGGTGTCTGCACCGGCAACAATCAGTGCTGCACTAGTCCTGTCTACCAATATTGCTTTGCAACAGCTGAAGGAGCCGTGGCAACTTGCGAGCCTCCGCCAGCAACCACACTCGATAGGCGAGCACTCCCCACCAATGCTGTCCGAAGAGGTGTCGGATACGGCGGAGCTATGGCTTAGGGAGCAGGACATAGGGGGGATGGGTTCGATTGGTGCTCTCAGTTGCCCAGATGCGCAAGCGGTCACAGCAAGCCATGGCACTGCTATTCTTGTCGTAGCTGAGTGATGTAGTTCTGCTCGAAGGCCGCGTCCGGTAATCTGCAGCCAGTATCAGGTGTCGAGCTTTCGCCGTTGAAAAACCACAACACTATCACCAGAACTGCCGGTTTGTGCCGACTGATTGGCCTTGCAAGCTCCAAAGCGCCCCGCGAATGGCTTATGGGACGCAAATTTGATAGCCCTGGCCGTTGTATCTGAAATCATTGGTAAGAAGCCCATTCAAGATCCGGAGCCAAACGTGCCGGGAGACCCGGCCAAATTAGCTGCGGGCGTTGTTGATATCATGAATGGCACGGCCATGCATGGGGGACACGAGGATCAGTCGCGGTTCCTGTGGCCGCAAGTCCTGCCTTTGAGGCTGATACGAGCGATGGTGTTGCAGTGTTGTAGCACACATGATCCAATATGTGTAGAGGTGACACCCACACTGGCTGGGAAATAGATATCCAGCTCTGCACAACAATATTCCCCGTCTCATGGACTGCTCGGGCGACTTTCCAGTGCGTAAGTAATTCAGGTCATCTACTGCACAAATCCGTGAGCTACATCTCATGGCGGAGGTATTGCGAAGCGTGGTCGAGCGAATGATTGGTGAAGCGCGTCTGACATCTCCAATACGAACGGCGCTTCACCAGAGACCAGTTCGACCGAGGACGCGGTCTCAGCATTTCGCCATACGTCCTCTACCGTCACCTCGCCCTCACTGCACTCCGAGCCGCAGGCCTCTCAGAACTGTCCCCACCGATGCATCTGGTGCACGGGCAGCCTGACAGTCTCTCTGGAGACTCACCGAGCTCCCGCCATAACCTCTGACACCCGATCACGAGCGTCAAATATGGCGACCAGGATCAGCTCGAATGGCACCGTGGGCATGCCGCGCATCCAAGACGTTCTTCGCACACCAGAGGATCTCGAGAAGATCGCAAGCTTGAAGGCCGAGATCAACCGCAAAAAGGCTGACGTGGACGCCAGACTAAGAGAAGGGCTACAAGATCATTTGGACACTACGCACAATGGCATGTCGACACTGTCTGAGGGCCAAAAGCTGGTCGGACAGATTAAAGAGGAGATGAAGACTATCTACGACCTCTGCGAGCAGGCGCAGGCAATCCGCAGGAATTTTCCTCAGTTGGACTACCTTGCCAAAGTCCATCGCAATTTCGAGGCCACCCGCGCAATGCAGGCGGGCTTGCAGACGTTTGCGGACGACTGTTACCAGGTTCAGAGGCTGCTAGAGGACGACGAGAACGACCTGTTTCACCAGCCGCATCTCCTTGATGCTTACATGCGTTTGACTCGCCTACGTGACTTCCGAGACGAAGCTCTGGACCAGATCCGCAGAGCCAGAGATACCAGCCTGGAAGGGGATCTGCTCAACCTCTTCGAACAGCTTGATAGCGTGGTCGATGCATTCGATGACCATATAGGCTTCATCTGCCTGAATCTCATTGAGATTGTTCAACGTTCTGATGACCCCAGCATTATCGTCCGCCTCGCTATTGTGCTTGCCTCCGAAGAGAAAAATGACGACCGGGTCAGAGCTCTACAGGACGCCCAAAAGGACCATCAAGACCTGGTCAGCAAATTCACATCATTCAATATTGGTCCCAAGCACATTCGTGGGTACAAGGAAAAGTTCATCAAAGCCATTGAGAACGTTGTCGAAGGTAAAATCATCCAGACGAAGCAGGAGTTCCAAGAGGATCCTTCCAAGCTCAAAAGCCACACGAAGTGGCTTGGTGAAGACCTTAACGCGGTCAAGCGAGGAATGCAGAACCTCTTCCCCAGAAAATGGAAGATTTTTAACACATACGTGGATATCTATCACAAGCAGATGCACGACTTCCTCATCTCTTTTGTAGAGGCGGAAGATCTGCGTCCGCCACAGATGCTGGCTATCGTCCACTTCGTTGAGGAGTACTACAGGAGAATGAAGAAATTAGGCATATCGGAATCACAGCTGAAGCCACATGTGCTCGACTCGCGAGAGGGCGAGCTCATCCGCGATTACAGAAACGTCATCACGAAAGCCCTCAATTCTTGGATCGACAGGATGTATGTGACCGACAGAAAGAACTTCATGTCGCGAGCGCCGGACGCCACCGAGCAAGACTCCGATGGACATTTGAGAACAAAGACACTTGGCGATATGTGGCGGATGCTGCACGAGCAAGCCGAAGCAGCAGGTGATTCCGAGCGCGAGGACGTCGTCGAAGGCGTCATGAGCGCCATGTTCAGTGCCCTGAAGTCTAGGCAACAGCAGTGGGAGAAACTGATCGACGAAGAGGTGGAGCGGTACAAGAACCCGACGGCCGAACAGCTTGAAAGTCTACAGCAACTCCAAGATTGGCTCCTGGCAATCGCGAACGATCAGATCGCCTGCGTAGATGACGCTGCGGGCGATGTGCTAGACGACCCCACAGCTCAGAAGGGATACTTGACACGGTTCAGAGAGGATTTTGTCAAGCTTCCTACCCCTCCATCTGCCAAATTCATGTCGACCAATGGCACGACGGAATTGGATGCTCTCCGAGATGGCTACGTCGACTTGGCTACTCACTGCATCAATCGCTTCGTGCAGCTGATTTTCCGAGTCGATTTCCGGACAATCATGACGGAACTATTCGTGCCGGGCAAGTGGTACGAACAATCTGCAATGCAGAGAATCACTACAACCTTCGACGACTACGTTGGAGACTACAACTCCGTGCTCCATCCCTCCCTGATCGACATCCTGATCGAGGAGCTGTCCGATGCTCTACTAGTGGGCTATCTTACCTCACTCCGGACCAATCGTGGCGTGAAGTTCAGAAGGGGTGAACCATTTGCCGCCAAGTTTCGAGACGATGTACTTGCTGCATTCGCCTTCTTTGAGAAATACCCAGACAGCTTCAACGAGACCATCAAACCCAAATGGAAAGCTGTGAACTATACCGTGCAACTGCTCGAAAGCGACAAGAACGAAGTTGTGCCAAAGTACGAACAGTTCAAACGGGAGTTCTGGGACCTGCAATTGAGCTGGGTGGAGGCTGTGTTAAAGACTCGTGACGACTGGGACCGTAGCATGGTCGCCGCGGTCAAACGAGCAGCGGCAAGCACATACGCCGAACGAGGCTTGGACACCGTCATGGGCAAAGTCAAGTGAACCAGCCATGTAGACGACAGCCAATTCTGGCGGCAGCTTTGCCCATCAGACATGACATTTCTCGCCTCCCAGGACAGCGGCCACCCTACCCGGTACGGAGGGTGGGATGTTGACTATGTCTTGGCTCTAGGGCGAAGCTCGCCACCAGTTTTCGTGGCAATGAAAGCCGACTTCGACACTCCAACCGCCCACTCCAAGTGGCTCGTCGGCGCCCTTTACCAATATGTAGTCTCGTGAAGGAGACTTGCAGGTTCCGGCAATGTCCATTAGCGAAGGTCTATCGAGGATGACCGGTCGAATCTGGCAGAGAACGGCGAAGATGCGGGGTCTGAGTGGTCGAGGAAGTGGACGTCGTTGACCGAAGAACTGCTGTGGCCGATGTGTGGAAGTGAAAGGAGTTGGATGATATATGAAAGGTCGACCACGTGTAGCAAAAGGGCGACATTTACTGGTCCGATGTCGCCTTTCGCCCAGTTATCGGGCGCATGCTGTCTCATACGAGGACTAGGCCTCCCAAGCATTACCAGCACGACCCAAGCAGCCGGCTTAGTGCCACAGCTATCTTGGCCGGCTCGGCGGAACACTTGGCGTACCTCTCTGTTCCGCTCCCCCTATCAACATGGTGCACGGACTATTCTTTCAAATCTCGACATGGTATGCTGCCTGGGCGTCTTGCCATGACGCCTTGACCACTGTTCGGCATCGGATGTTCTCTACACATGGGTGCCTGCCAGCGTACAATTCGTTCATTAAATGATTTCGGCCTAAGAGTGTGAAGATGAGCTCAAGATGCAGTTCGCTAATGCGCGAAAGCAGGCGCGAGTTGCGCGACTTTTTTCCCATTATTATATACCAGCGGACTCACGAACCCGATATTCGATCTGATGTGACTCTCTCATCCAACTTTCCCATCCCTTGTGAGACTGAGAGCTGTGGTCATCTGCGAATCCAGCCGCCACGATGGTGCTCCAAGCGCTTAAAGAGTCGTGGATTATGTTCACCCCTGTCGAGAAGAGGAACATTGCCATCTATATAGTCGGCATCATGCTGTACAAATTCGGACTTGAAGCGTTCAACGGTTCGATTGTCGCCCTTGCCACGAACAAGTACGACTACGAAGCATGGCTGACCGACTCGACCCCAAGGACCTTCGAGCGTGTCGGCTTGTTGACAGGTCTCAACCAGGCTTTCCAGTGCGTTGGTTCCATCCTGATTGCTCCCCTCATCAAGCGATGGCCCACGAAGCTCGTTCTCGCGTGCGCTGTTATGGTCTTCGGCGTCATGACGGCTATCCTGCTCATCGTGGATGCTGGCACCGGGGGTCGCTTCAAGCCCGACAATTGGGACGATAACCACGACGAAGACGATTTCGGCTACTACGGCAACTACAATGCCAATGGTATCATCCCCATCTACTGTGTCAGCGGCATCGCCTATGGCATGGTCGAGTTGATCCGCCGTGTCATCCCCAGAGATATCGTGGGTGGCAACGTCCAGAAGCTGCGACGCATGGACTCACTTGTGCACATCTTCTATGAAATCTCCGGCACGGCCGGTGCCTTCTGCACTGCTCTGGCGCTGATCCCGTCGTTCGGTAACAACTACTCCTTCATCATTACGCCCATCTTCTTCACCGCTGCCGCGTGCGTCTGGTTCTTCGTCACCAACCTCAACTACTCAAAGCCGCTGCAGGAGAAAGGCGGCAATTATCTCGTCGCAGTCGGGATGGGATTCTTTCTGTTCTTCGAGTCCATCTGGACTGGCTTCAAAATCATCTTTTCGTCCAGGAGATTCATCTGGCTGTTACCGGGCTACTCTTTCGCCCTGTATGGACATCGCTACCTCGAAAACGGTATTGCCCCCGCTGTTGCGAGGCGATATCTCGGAAACTCGGCCTGGAGTCAAATCAGTAAGTTTCATCCCTTCGAGTCTTGAGCAAACCCCGAACAGACGTCCCCAACCATGCTAGTCGCAAGCAGCTCCTGCTCCCAGTCCCCTCAACCTTACAGGCACTGACAACTGTCTCTAGTGGTTGGTGGCTCCAACTTCGGAGAGCTTCTCGGCGCGGGCTTCGTCTTTCTGTTCACAAACCTTGTGCAAACGCCCATGCCATGGCTCCGTCTGGACTCCCTCATGCTGCTGATTGTCTGGTACCTCCCGTACTGGTACCCCGTGCGTGGGGACGTCAACGAAGCATGGCGCGTCGCCGGCACCTTCATCCCCATCTCCTTCGGCTGGGCGGCCGGCGATGTCTCGCTCGCGGCATTCATCCAAGCCAGCCTTGCACGCCTGGAGGCCGAGAACACCGAAGTCAGCGCGCTCGGCGCGGTCATGGCCTTCCTGTACAGCACGTATATCGTCATCTACGCCGTCTGCTCGCCGCTCCTAGGCCGATACATCGACTCGGTGTACGCCAGCACGGGGGGCAGCGATGGCGGCGACATCCACCGTGCGATCAGAAACGTGGGCGGCGTGCAGTTCACGGTGCTCATGGCCGTGGTGCTGGCGTCGACGTTCATCCCCAAGGGCGCCCTGTCGTTCAACCCCAAGATGCTCAACGACGAGGTGCTGGATAAGGATCTGGACCACGATTCCGGCAGCGAGGCCGAGTTTGCCGGCATGAACGAGAAGGAACGCAGGCAGAGCATCGTGCAGATGAAGATGGACGAGCAGGCCGAGGGCCGCAGACAGTCCGTCACGAGAGTATCGGCTGATATCAACGACACGTTCTCCCCGGACATGCATAACATCCGGGAGGAGGATGGCGGGCTGGTGAAGTGATTGACGCACACGCACCGAGACGCCCGCCTTCCGCCCTGCCTGCCTGTCCACACGATTAATTCCAGCGCGTGGATGAGTCGTGGCCTTATATTGACCTCGTGGAAGATGTCGACCATGACCAAGGGAAACATCCAGGTCGGGTCGGGTCGGGTCAGGTCGATACCAAAGCTCCTTTGCCAGAATACGAATGCTGTCTGTTCTGTACTGTAGCTTATGAGGTACCGCGTTGCTGACATTCTTTTATTTGAGTACGGTGGTGGTGTGCCTGTCCTCCTTGTTCCTTAACTCTACACATGAAATGAGATGTCTCATCTTTTGTATCACTTGTATACTTTATTCTTCAGACTTCAAAATCCGGACCGAGTCGTCAGTCTCTTGTCACTATCAAGGAGAGGTCCCATAGCCTCATAGGGATTACCCGAAAGCACTGAATATCCGAGTACTTTCCGCTGGATTATTGGACCTCTTGGCTTATATGCTTGTTATGAACGTGGGGGCACGCGGTTTCATGACAGTCTTCCGCCTGCCTACAGTAGCTCTCTCCCTCTTTCCGTCTCTCGCTTGCCTGCCTGTCTGCCTAAATGCCACTCGGAACGACGGATAAAAGTCACCGTAGACTCTGGTAACCTTCTCTACCCTTAGAAATGATAAATTTCTAGAGACCGTCACTCCTGCTTCGATATGTTAAGACACTTGACTTTTGCCCAGCGAATATAACTTCGTTGGACCAGAAGTCAGGCAAAGTGAGAGCTGACAAAGGAAAACTCAATTTGCGCCTCTCTAGACAAGGGCGCTTTGAAAGCGTTCGACTGTCCGTCCTGCATGCTCATGAAAATGCGCGGGGAGGGGATCTGAAACACCACACAGATAGTGTCAGTACGGATGAGCGTTCTTGAGAAGGCTGCTTCTTCATTTCATCTGACTTCCGACTCTCCTGAGCCATTTATATAAATCGTTTAGTGCGAAGCAGAGGAGGAGCAAGTACCCAAGACAAAGTGCTGCCATACGTAATCGAACAGAGATAACAACAGATTTCGTTTTCTTTCTCTTTCACATTTGAATCGTCGAGAACCATTTGCTCATCAGCTACGAGCTGGGAATGAGAACAGCCACTTTGGCCAATTCAAGCGGTCCGGCGGTTGCCCGTGGACATTAGTGTAATCTTCTTCTTCTTGCCTTTCTTTTGCCGGCCTCCGCCACTCAAACTTGCCTCGACCATGGCCACAGCCTCGCCCTCATCCAGTAGGTCTTTTTCCCAGTCTTGAAGCCACCCGTCATCTACTTGTACAGTTGGAGCTGGCGCAGCCATCACGGGTGGTGTCGTCGGAGCCACTGCTGTGGTACCCCAAACGGTTCTGGGAGCATCGGGACTTGTACCAGGAGTGGCCAGGGTTGCAAACGCGGATTGGGCTCTGTTGTTGCCCCACGGAGGCGTTGTCGCTAGATTGGACTCTAAGCCTGGCGAAGAGCTGGCATGAGTTGATGGGTCGACCAGTGGTTGGAAATCAGTGTCGGTAAAGCTCTTGGTGCCGACACTGGGTCTACGTGGTCGTCTAGCGGCTGCCCAACGTTTGTCCTCCTCCTCTTTCTCTGCTCGTATTCTATCCCTCTCTTCTCGTGCTTCCTTTTCTGAATTCCTCTTCCTCCGTCGGGAAATCTCCTCTTTAAACTGTTCTAAGATGGCGGGACTGATGACATCTGTCCAGTCGCACTCCAGGAAACTCACTTCAAAGCCATACGGCAAATGAGCCATATATTTTGCTCGTTTGCGAAGGTCATCATCTATGACATGACCCGTTGAGATGTGCTCCACCCGTGGAAGGATGGTTGAAGGAAATGCCGAGAAGTCGCCGAAAGCAGCCTTGAGAATACGAATGTCCAGTGGTGAAAGGAAGAAATTTGGCAATGCATGGTAGAAGTAGAATGAATGAGCCAGAGGTCGAGGGGGGGCATGTCCAGGCCTGGGCGGGAGTGGGGCGGATTTCGCGGGAATGGCGATCGGACTGAGCGACATCTCTTGCAGAGCAGTGGTTAGGATAGAGTCCTGTTGCTGATCGGCTGCATCCCAGGACTCTGGCACTTCAGCTTGCTTCGTGCAGGCCGAAGTTGTCGGTCCCGCCGCAGGAGGGTTGCCCAAGCCCGACAATTTCTGCTTAAGATCTTCAATAGCTAGTACCGCTTTGCGCGTCCAGGTATTGTCGTCGCCAAACATTAGCTCGTCTTCCTTGCCCTGAGTGTCAAGGTCTGCAATCTCCTGGTCATATTGAGCAACCATGTAGTCTTCACCACCTTTCATGAAGCGTGCGTAGTCCATCATGCCGGCAACATGGAACCAAGGGATGTCGTCAGATCGCCCATAGCTCTCAGCAGTGTCACGGGGTAGGGCAAGTGTTGAGCCTGGCTCTCGCTTCAGCAGCTTCAGAAGTATATCGCCACCTTCTCTTAGCAGGCTCACGTCGTTGCCGTATATCCACCTAACGGGCCTGGTATCTGACATGTAAATGCTGTCCTCGCAAATGGCACACTTTTTCCACCTGGCTCGCTTCTCGGGAACAGGATTGGACTCGTCGGTCGAATGCATGTAGCGGATAAGACATGATAGGCAGTAGATGTGACCACACTTGGCCATTCGTGGGGCTACCGGAGTGGATAGACAGATCGGACAGCTTGTATCTTGAGTCTCGGCCGAGGCAAGGACTTGAAGGACGGCATCCCAGCTAACATAAATGTCTGCATCGACTGTCTGAGCATGATATTCTCGATCGGGTCGGACAATGAAGCGGTAGTTTGCGTGGACGTAGCGAGCCTTGTCAACGGCATGGTAGCCCGAGCCGAGTCCCCAGGTCCGATGGCGTGTTTGATTGTGACGGTGATTGTAGTGCTGAAGATGGTGTTGGGGCCGAGGAGGGAGGGTGAAGTTCATCAAGTGGGTAATCGACGTTTGTCCTTTTCTCGAGTTGACTGATCTCATGGCGTGTGTCTCATCCTCATCAATGAGCCGTGGCTTCTTTTGTTGCTTGTGCTGTTTCCGGAGGGGCTGGTTCCCGCGCGCCTGCGAAGTCTGACGCGTCAGAGCAGACGGCCCAGCACTTCCTGAGCCGAGGGTTCGTTTAGAAAAGGAGTTATCGGGGGCAGCTTGAGAGTAATTCGACGCTGACGAGGCCGGAGGAAGTTTGCTCGCGGGCTGGAGAGAGGTGGCGCTGGATGACATCGCTACTCTGGAGTGACTCGAATGTCTCCTCAAGTCCTGCAATAAAGCAGACAAGGGTCCTCGACAAGAAGCAAGAAAGAAAGCGTTGACTTGACAGACAATGTACTTGGCACTGAGGCGGACCACAATCACCCCAATGAAGGGGTGGTGAGAGGTGACTGAGAGGGAAACCAGCGACAACGATGTCGAGATGGCAACTCATGCTGTGACGGACGGAGGGGCAGCCGAATGACTCTAACTAAGCCCGATGCATGAGGTAAGCCTGCGAAGGAGATTTGGAGAAGCCGGGGCGCTCGACCGTCGCGCTTACTGGCTGGAATGGTGGTTAACAAACCCACTCGACCTGCGAAATCCGCCGAGTTTAGAAGACTGACTGCGCAATTGTTCGTGCTTGCCTTGGACGACTCAACCTCACATCGCATCACTCTACCTTTTTGGTCGCCTTGACAGAAAGGTGTTGCCTTCATCTCGCCACTGCCCTCCTGCTCCCTGGGCTGTTGCTCGGTGAGTCGATTGACTTCTCGTCGCCTTCGCCATCGTCCATCTTCCCCTGGGCGCAGCCGGTGGACAAGCCCTCTCGGTCTCTCACTTCCACCTCGCCATTTCTTCCCGCGGCTTCTTGATCATGGACCAACAGGGGTCGTCGGTTTAGGAGACCGAAGGTCAAAAGAGAGGGAGACGCGCCGCGTATCGACCATCCACATCATGTCCTGGCGAAGAAAGTCCTGAACGCGACTTTATCACAACCATGCAACCAAACCACCATCCCTATGGGCAACATGCCATGCCCATGCAGGCTCCTCAGAGGCGGCACGACGGCCCATATGCAGCCATTCCACCGCCCATGAGGCAGCATCACCAGTATCAGCCATACTATCAGCAACAAATGGCTCCTATGATGCCTCAGTATCCGCAGCAATACCAGCCCAACTGGTATGGATATCAACAACCACATATGCACCCCATGCATGCCCGGCCGCCATATTATCCCCAGCATAGCATGCCTCCACCTCCATATCCCGCCGCGGTCCCTCCTCCCGCTCCCCATCACGGCCCTCTGGTGGTATCGTCGCCGCAGCACGTTCCGCTTCCTCCCCGGCAAAGCCAGGGCGCTGCGCTTGTGCCGCAACAAAGCATCCCGACCGCTCCCTCGATGACCTCCAACCCAGTTCATACGCCGCCTTCTCCACCATTGAGCACATCGAGCACTGTGAACACAAGAAAAGAAACAATATCTCCTGCTGTCTCCCCTGCTCCACAACGGGTTCAAAGCCCGTCGATTGACGCACCTCAAGAACCGTTTCAGCCTCCTGTGCCATGGCTATCAGTCGAGGGGGAGGCCTTTCCCCCACGAGCTCCGCGACGGAGACGTCGAATTTTCCGGTCCCTTCTTGCATCGGAACCGGTTGTGTACCCCGTGGTGGAACAACCACCTTCACCACTTCCTGAGGCAGAGACACTACAAGATCCACAAGAGGCAGTGCCACAGGAATTGAACGCAGACATTTCTACGGAACAAACTTTCACACAGGCTTCTCAAGCCTCGACTCCTTTGCCTTCGGATGCTCCTTCGGATGCTGCTTCTACTCAGCCAACTACCCCTTCATCTGCGGCTCCTGCGTCTCTGTCGAAGACACCGACCCAACCCAAAGCTCGACCAGTAGGGCCTGTTATACCAGCCGTTCCTATCCTGCCTCCTAGCCCTTCTGCAGTCCGCCCTGCTCACCGTGACTCAGTCGTGTCCACACAATCAAGGCTATCTGAAACCGCGCAGCCACCTGTAGAAGTCACCGAGTCTAAGCCTACCTCTCCTGAAGCGGAAGTGACCAAGCAGAGCTCCGAGGTCACCGCACCAAACGTCTCTCCCGCCGCTCCGAAGTCTTGGGCAAATCTTTTCAAAACCAACGACTCGAGGGTCGGCTCGTCCGCCACGATACCCTCCCAGGCGGCGTCATCGATTTCTGGAACGGCGAAGAGCGAGACCCTGTCCGACGTGCTCAATGACATGAACGCCGTCGTCGAAGCACCATCCACTGTCTCTTTCCTGAAACCCCGTGGTCTTGTCAATACTGGCAATATGTGCTACATGAACTCTGTATTGCAAGTTCTCGTTTTCTGTCTGCCTTTCTACGATTTTATCGCCAAAGTCGCCGACAGAGCGCCACATACCTTCAAGAGCGACACGCCTTTGGTCGATGCGATCATCATGTTTATCCGAGAATATCCCATCATTTGCTCCGCCACCTCTGTCGAACAGCTGCGCCTGCGCTTGAAACCAGAAGACTACGAGAATTTTGGCGATAGTCTCATTCCGGAGTATGTCTATGCGGCGATCAAAGATCTGCCGCGGTTCCGGGAAATGCGAAGGGGCCATCAACAGGATGCTCAAGAGTTCCTTGGCTTCCTCCTGGAAGAATTGCACGAAGAGTGTGCTCGTGCGATGAGGTGTATCACAGCCTCGAGTTCCGGCAGAACGACGCCCGTGGGCAGCGTCTCGAACGTGTCTGACCACGCTGATGCTGAGGGTGGCTGGATGGAAGTTGGCCACAAGCAGAAAGCCGCTGTCACCCGGTCGTCTGGAATGCTTGCTGCTGAATCCCCTGTGACAAATATTTTTGGTGGCAAGCTTCGATCAGAGCTCAAGGTTTCAGGAAACAAGTTGTCCGTGACTCTAGAGCCATACTCACCACTTCAACTTGACATCGGCTCTCCTCAAGTCAACAACATCATTGACGCCCTCAAAGGACTGACACGACCAGAGAGCATGCAAGGTGATTTCCATACTCCAAGGGGTGTCAAGGCCACCGCAACCAAGCAAGTCTTCATTGAGACTTTGCCTCCTGTTCTGATCTTGCACTTGAAACGATTCCACTATGACAACACTACAAAACGTGCTGAAAAGATCTGGAAGCGTGTGGGCTACCCACTAGAGCTAGAAATCCCTAAGGAAGTCTTCCCCCTGCAAGTACGGAACAAATTCACAGCTCATGGTGGCCTGCCCAAATATCGTCTCACCGGAGTCATCTATCACCATGGCAAAAATGCTAACGGCGGACATTACACTGTTGATATCCGCCGGCAAGATGGCCGTGAATGGATTCGGATGGACGATACCTTGCTTCGCCGCATCAGAGCTGAAGATGTCGCCGAAGGTGGTAGCGAAGAAGATCCGAAAGTCCTGGCTGCAGCACTCGAGCGACACAAAGCTACTGGCAATCGATTTGACCAGTTCGAGCAGGAGGAGGAGGAAGACGAAGCGTCGGACAAGGCGTGGAGCCAAGTGAATGGCCATTCAAGGTCCAAGTCTACATTGAGCGCAGTCGTTAATGGAACTGTTACTCCCAAAGAGTCCTCTGGGAAAGATACGCCGAACGCCAAATATGCCGTCAAAGACAACAAGGTTGCATATCTGCTGTTCTATCAGCGGATACAGTAGCAGTGACGGGTTTACATCACGACAGAAGCTGCAAACTGCTCTCTATCGGCCTATTTTTCTTCAATCGAAATGGCCAGCAGCTTCGGGTTCTCACCATGACCTCCAGACGATGACAATTGACCTCGACTCAACTACCACCGTTCTTAATATCGTTACAGCGACTTTCTCGGAAAAAGTGAGCATTTGCTGAGGTCGGTTGGGGAGGAGTTTCGAAGACTTGAAAAGTTCACCCGTCGGGTCTGAGGAGCGATCTGAAATGCATAGCGGAGGAATGCTATGAGCCCAGCATGGATCGGCCTCCTTGAGCATCAACATATCATCTTTTATTTTTGCCCGTTCTCAAAGACCTCATGACCCTGTCCTAACGACCTTCACCTGTTTAAATTCACCTTGCTCAACGCCTCCTTCCTCAGCTGGCCACCTGACGTCGTCCTACAAGACGAAATATTATCGGGAGGAAGAAGACACAACATCTATTGGAGACTGATGAGAGGAGGGAGGGTGGTAGAAAGAGATAGTGCACTAATCCTGATGGCGGTGGCCATAACAACCTGTTGAATATACCTACGCCCTTCTCCGTGGCATTTGGAGCCTGTAATGATGCTGGCTGTCGTGACCTGTTGGCGGTAGCTCAGATGTCCATACTTTGCTGAGCACATCTTTCCTCAGGGGAAAGTGACAGCCTGTAGTCAATTGCGTCTAGCCAAGAGAAAGAACATGATCATATACCTTGACTATTCCTTGCCTCAGCTTCTCAGTACTTCCCCTCGCACGGCATTACCGACCTAACCATCCCAACTCTAGACGAGAAAGGACTTCGTAACATCAAGGTGACTGAGATCGGAATGATGTTCTCCGAACACAGTGAAATGAGGCCTTCAGCGGTGACTCGACCTCGCCTTGCCGATCACTTTCCCATTAACGGGGGTACCGAAGAGCACCGTATAACGTCCCTATGACGGGAAAAGATAGACTGTTCCACAATATGTAGTGCTCCATCGCCAGTGATCGCCACTGGTTTGAAAGTGGCTCGTACTCCACAACCGTGGATTCTGCGACTAGACCGGCTCCGGGAAAAGCGGTCATATCTGCAGTTAGAAGACCACATACAGGCTGCGAGGCTAGCTCAGCTAATGCTTGCATTCTCAACAAACGTGCAAAGGGAAGTGAAAACCTGAGCTGAGGCTCGAACTGCATGACTGTACATTGGTCTGTCGACGCTGGGGCTCTGTGTCGATTATTGGTTCTCTGGCTGGACTAGGAGAGTCTGCCCTCGTCTTGGAAGGAGTACACACACAGCGTCGGAGGCCGTAAAGATAGAAAGCTGTAAAGCTGTTTTCTCACAGGGCCCCAGCCTCCATTTAGCAGCCATTCCAGACCGGTCAAAATGAAGGAGGAGATGAGATGACAACCGGTGAACTGTCGATGTTCAGGAGTCGGCACGTCAAATGCAACGCAAACGGAGAGGTCCTCGAAGCAATCGTCAACTTCAAAACATTGAAATGGTAGAGCTTGCGACTGCGAGAAGGTGTGGAGGAGGCATAAGCGGGAATGCGCTGGAGGG